TAGTGCCGGTTTCATAGTTGTTTTGTCCTTTAAGCAGAGGGATAGTACCGGTTTCGTGAGTATCTTGTCTTTTAACCCAAGAGATAGTACCGGTTTCGTGTGTATCTTATATTTTAACCAAAAGAGATAGTGCCGGTTTCATAGTTGTTTTGTCCTCTAAGCAAAGGGATAGTACCGGTTTCGTAGTTATCTCATCCTTCAAACAAAAGGATAGTACCGGTTTCATAGCTATCTTATCCTTAAAAAAAGAGAGATAGTACCGGTTTTGAAGTTATTTTATGCTATAACCAATCCTTCATACTTTTCATCCAAAAATGTAATACTGAAGATATCTCTTTCACTGACAGTTTCATAATAAGAAAAGGTTAAAAGTGTATCACAAATTTAGTGGTATTTTACAGTAAATAAAATTATTTGTCGATTGATTATATACAATAACTCAAGACAAATTACACAAACCAGAAGCCAGAGATGACATGAAACTTTTTATTGGCTGGTTTAATTTAATCTCGTACTCAGTACTCTATTCTAGCAACGTAGAGCTCATGAAACTTTTTATTGGCTGGTTTAACTTAATCTCGTACTCAGTACTCTATTCTAGCAACGTAAAGCACATGAAACTTTTTATTGGCTGGTTCAACTTAATCTCGTACTCAGTACTATATTCTATCCACGTAGAGCACATGAAACTTCTTATTGGCTGGTTTAACTTAATCTCGTACTCAGTACTCTATTCTAGCAACGTAAAGCACATGAAACTTTTTATTGGCTGGTTCAACTTAATCTCGTACTCAGTACTCTATTCTTTCCACGTAGAGCACATGAAACTTCTTATTGGCTGGTTTAACTTAATCTCGTACTCAGTACTCTATTCTAGCAACGTAGAGCACATGAAACTTCTTATTGATTGGTTAAACTTAATAATCTAGTACGTTATGAACGATTCTAACAAATATGTTTATAGAGTATTAAAATAACATCAAACTTTATGCTACTTTCCACCCCGCAGCTTACTCCTGTCACAGATTCGCATTCGAGTAGGCGAGTACGACTTCTCGAGTGTTCGAGAGCCTTATCCTTACATAGAACGCGGGGTGAAGAAGAAGGTCGTCCATCCCAGCTATAATTTTTTCACTTACGAGAATGACCTGGCCCTGGTGAAACTAGAGGAACCAGTGGAGTTTAGGCCTCACATAGCTCCAATATGTCTGCCACCCGATGACGATAACCTGATAGGCCGTAACGCCACTATTACCGGGTGGGGGCGTCTTAGTGAAGGTAGATAGACGTTTTACTTTTGATTAGAATACCTTTAGCCTTTTGTTTGTGTTACCTTTTATTTAGTGTATCTTTGTTTTTTAGTTTAGATACAAGAGCCGTATTACTATAACCGTATTAATATAACGCATCCTGATATTAATGTAACGTATTTAAAAGAAGTTTAATTAAAAGCACTTCTCAAATTTACTTTAGAGACTGAATTTAACAATCTGATGACAATGTCTGCTAATAATACAGAATACTTGACGTACGGGGACAATTTATACGACAAACATAAAAAGAATCTGATCATAAACCCTATTAATCAATATACACGAAAGCCAAGTGTCGGACGGTCAGTCAGCCGGTCACGCTTGATTTCTCCGAATTTCGTGAGTTACACGAGTCCAGTTCCACTTTTCCTCCAATAATACTTCCTTTTTTGATTTCCCGTTCCCATTTTAGTTGAATTCAATCGCTAACATAGATCTAAATTTCGTGAGTTACACGAGTCCAGTTCCACTTCTCCTCCTATAATACTTCCTATTTTGATTTCCCGTTCCCATTTTAGTTGAATTCAATCGCTAACATAGACCTAAATAGCTCCTAAATTTCGTCACTTTTTCTGCTATATATATAAGCCTGTCAAGGAGGGAGTTACCAGGACCAGATCAGGCATGGTGTTATGTGTGTGACACCACATCATCCACATCATTATGACGTCAAGCTAGGTATTATCTGAATACGAAATACGTGAAGACACCTTACATTATTATGTAAAAACCTTTGTTAAAACAGACTGGAAATACCAGTTATCTGTAGGGAAGAGAACGACTTTTCTTCAGAAGAAGAACAGATGTGTTTGTAATCACATGATCATCGTATGTTTTAATCTTTTATACAAAGGCACCGATATGTAGCTTGTTCCTGGGAAAATAAATTTTATATTTATTTTGTGTATTGCCAGTTTTATACAGAATAGTTTTGTTTTCCAGTGGTTTTACGCTAATAATAAACAATACTTCACGTACGTTGACAACTTACGTACAACAAACATAAAAAGAATCCGATGAGGAAAACGTTTATTAATGCACAATACTTGACGAATACTGAAAGTTTTATCTTAAACATTTTAAACGTTATAATTCGTGCAGGTAGCCCTCTAGTAGCTTTGCGCGAAATTCAAAAAACAAAACAAACAAACATTATAACTCATAAAACCTGACCTTCGAGAGGTATTAATGAACGTGATATATTAGTTTATATGGCCGTAAACAAATGTCCTAGGGTTGAGTTTAATTTAAAAAGAAGCTTCTTTACGAAAATATGTTTCAAAGACGAACTATTTTTATCCATTAGATATTTAATGCTTTAACAATGCGTGGTTTATACATTAAAATATCCGTTCATATCGCTATTTGGATACAAACTTTTTACAGTCAGACAAGTATATCTTGAACAAGGCCTGTATAAATGTACATTCTTCACGTATTTTATTAATGTTAATGGATTGATATGCCATTTAGAAATGATAATTTTATGTCCTTCTATGCGAAGAAATAATATAAGTTCAAATTATGATTGACTAAGAAAGTGGAACCCTCTTGACTATGGGTGGAGCCTCAAGGTTTAAACACTACTCGGAAACAATCATAATATTCAATACAAATCGTATTTGGAGAAAGTCACTGTTCGGAAATGTTATCTTTAGTTTGTATCGAGTTGTGTTATTGTATAATACTTATTTCAAAATTAAAATTGGTTCATTGCGCTCTTAAGCGTAGACTCTGGTTTTCAGTGAAATAAAAACATTTCCTTATCACATGCATTCTGGTTCATGATTTTTATTTGTATTTATTTATGGTTCCAGTGTCTTAGTTTTAAAATACAATTATTAATTAATAACGTCGATTGCTGTACACAGGTGGCGTTTTGCCCTCTATGCTACAAGAAGTGCAAATACCAATCGTCAGCAACACCAAGTGCAAGAACATGTTCTTAGCTGCTGGAAGAAACGAATATCTTCCTAATATCTTCATGTGTGCAGGCTTTGAAGATGGAGGGAGAGATTCGTGTCAGGTAAGGCTGTGTTGACTACATTATATTAAAACTATTTTAATATGCAAGTCACGTGACAACCACAGCTGATAAAAGTCGTGGTGGAACGCATGTATCAGATGTACATTTTTTAGCTTTTTTTAGGCAAAACATTCATACACTCAGATCAGGAGAATGTGTTTATAATTTACAAGACTGGAATATTCCTTGTACTTACTAACGTTGAAAAATAAAGGAATATGGATCATCTTGGGACACCAGGACCACCCAAAAATGTATCTGCAACAAGTCGAATCCTATCCGTGGTAAGCAAAATTTGCCGTCTTGTAACAGATGAGAATCCATGAACACAAAAGTCAATGGCAAAAGCTGTCCACGTGACCTAGGCAACAGTCCATAACATAATCAACAAGAAGGTCTGTGTACTTGCCCCCCCCCACCTTCATAAACTCTAAAGTTAAACAAATTTGTCATATATTTAGTGCTGATTATATGGTGTTTTGTACCACAATTTCCATAATTTGTGTTACAATATAACTATACTGGTGGGACAATTTTTGTGGAGTGGCTAAATTTACGACAATCTCCCACCACCCCCATATAATGATATATATATATTGTAATTTAACGTAACATTCACTCCTATATTTATATCGATAATGTATATTAACTTAGGTTGTGAATTTTGAAATTGATTGGAAATTACATAAAATGTGCTTGTAAACATTTTTTTTTATCCAAAAATGTGAAATTCATTTTCTTTAGTATAAGTGAAGATAGCCATGAAGATGTGCAATAAATATTTATATTATCTTTATAAAATAATGACGTGGAGTTGGTCTTGCGCAGTCTGCTTTTGAAATAGTCCTACTTCACCTTATTACGTCATCCGAATTGACCAATCTGGAGGACTTGCGATCAAATTGTCTGTCTAGGTAAAAGCCAATACTTTAAGTTGACAATCAACATCGTTAATGTCTCAGGACTTTAAACTATACTAGTTATCCTTAAACAAGTACCACAAGGGGTAATATTGTAATATTCTTGACCTTTACAGTCTGTTATTTACTGTAATTAATCATCAGTGAAGGTTAATATTCTTGACCTTTACAGTCTGTTATTTACTGTAATTAATCATCAGTGAAGGTTAATATTCTTGACCTTTACAGTCTGTTATTTACTGTAATTAATCATCAGTGAAGGTTAATATTCTTGACCTTTACAGTCTGTTATTTACTGTAATTAATCATCAGTAAGGTTAATATTCTTGACCTTTACAGTCTGTTATTTACTGTAATTAATCATCAGTGAAGGTTAATATTCTTGACCTTTACAGTCTGTTATTTACTGTAATTAATCATCAGTGAAGGTTTTTGTTTTCCATATTTTGTCAACATATAAGTACAGTAATTCTGTAAAACTATGATGTTCTAAAATAGTTTGGTATCACTACAGAAACGATTCACCTGTTTTGGTAATGATAATGGCCAGGTGGTTAAGACGCTTGGCTCGCAATCTGAGGTTCCCGGGTTTGAATCCCCGTCCCACCAAACATGCTCGCCCTTTCAGCCGTGGGGGCGTTATAATGTGACGGCCAATCCCACTATTCGTTGGTAAAAGAGTAGCCCAAGAGTTGGCGGTGGGTGGTGCTGACTAGCTGCCTTGCCGCTAGTCTTTCATTGCCAAATTATGGACGGCTAGCGCAGATAGCCCTCGAGTAGCTTTACGCGAAATTCAAACAAACCAATGGATCCAATATTGATTTTGTGTTGTGGATGACGAAGCAATGGTAACCATAAAGTCAAGAAGTACATTGTTCTTTTAAATATTTTAACTTGATACTGTTAAAGGTGGTTCCTTGTGAGTGCTGCGATTTCATAGAAGGGAGTGAGTCTTTCATCTAGAACAGCCTAAATAACTGCAGCCATGTTGGTTGTTCTTGTGTCTGAAACAGACACCGGCGAGCAGGTAAGAACCGTAATTTGAATTATTTTGTTGTCTTATATTTGAAACTATCAAATCGAGTTATTCTGAAACCTGACAATACAATTTTCTCTAGAAATCACGATTAAAATAATTTAAAACTTTGAAAACAAGTTTACCTATTGTTGTTAAGGTATATACAAGCTTTGTTTTCCCTAAATTTATCGTATGTTACTTTATTCTATTTTCAACAATTCGTACCACACACCTTTGTTTACTTTCTTCCACTGAGAAAAGAAGCTTCTGGAACTACACCAGCAAGTGTGATGAAAGATACCGACACGTCATACAAAAAACATGCTAAACTTAACCTTAAAACCTCCACACTCAATGTTGTTGACAATCAATCGATGTTGACAAACCACAGCCAAGGGAACGGGCTTTGAAAAATCAGCAAAGTTATAGACGTATCTATATGCCAATAGGCTTATCTAAAGTTTTAGTCTTGAGGACTAACCTTGATCTATTGTCGTATTTATTTCCTATCTTTTACTGTGGATCTTGTATTTTATTGCTGTTTAAGTACACTTACATCCGTATTATATTGACCTGATACGTTTATACATAAATAATAACTTATCACTGTCCTTTAAAGTTTAATAAATAAAAATGTTCTCTGCAATGTCATTATTTGAATATATTTTTCGACGTTTCGCCCGCTTCAGACAATGAACGAAATGCAACTGTTTATTGATTATTAGCTAAGTAAGTTGTAAGCCACGTGAAGCGAAACAACGGAAACTTAGTCCTGATGTAAAGGAGAATATAAAAAACTTACCACAATATTTACGAAATTTGAGGCCCAGCATGGCCACACTTGTAATCTCCGGATTCGATAAAATTATGTTTGACATTTTTCTACCATCAATCGAATAAATAAGACAACTAATCTTTAGTTACTGTATCTATTATCAAAAAGAAGAAAATAGAAGACAGCTCTGTCAATAAAAATAAGATTTCAAACTAATCTTTAGTTACTGTATCTATTATCAAAAAGAAGAAAACAGAAGACAGCCCTGTCAATAAAAATAAGATTTCAAACAAAGAAGGGAAAGAGTCAAGCTTTAATCAATAACACCACTAGG